GACTCAGATCCCAGAGTGGGAGTGTCATAAGGCTATGGGTGGCTGGTTCTTAAGTCTGCAACTACTTGTGGACAGGTACATACATGTACACACACTCGCGTACGCCACGCTCTCTCAACCTGCATGCAGAGGCAATGATTGTCCCCCAGTAGGAAACAAAGCTGTTTGCATTGAAGTCAACGGTTTGTTACTGGCCTTTGGACTGCGGATCATGTGACCGGCTGCGGTAGATCACCTAGTGGCCAATCACGCTACCTCGCTGGGGTAGGCCAAAACTTTGGTCATATATATTGCAGGTCACGTCCACAGGACGGCCGGATCTCAATCAAATGTTATAAGCTAAGATTTTCTGTCACAAACCTCGGACCCATCGACTGTAGTTCAAGAAGAGCCCCCCTCCCGCAATCTGCCGCTAGTTCATCGGAAATCCCATTTCACTGACTTTTCTGTTTTTCCTTTCTACCTGTTCCACCAGTCCATTTATCACTTGGACCCGTTTTCTTCGCTTGCCTATAAAAGTTATATCTTTCGATTTGGGCAGCAATAACATTCTCTCATTTGCCTACTAGGTAGTCACTAACATCGCCTTTACTATTCACGCACTTCTCTTCACCAGTGACCCATTTTTGGTGTGATTAACTTACTTGCGATATGTCAGCCCTTTTCTGCCGGCGCTGTTTAGCTGTCACCTTTCCATTTTCTTCGCCTCTTGCAGTGCCAGCGGCCCCAGCAGTAACGGCCCGCCGATGTTGGCGTCGTTGTTCCTCACGTCGCTTACACCGCTCCAGGATGCGCGCTTTTCTTGTAGACAAATGGATGTCAGCGTCAGACAGCGGCCGTCCTTCAGAAGCGGCGTCAAGCTAACAGTAAAATGGGAGAGAATGATAGACTCAAGCGTACTGGACGTTTTTGAATAGATAACAAATAGAGGAACTATTGTCGAAAAATACGAGTGGACCTGGAGTGGCCGTATCTAGCTTATTTGCCAACGCCAGTCAGTTATAATTTAGACTGTGCAGACCATGATCTCGAACCCGAGTTGTTTGGGGTCTGAGCGCTGGATCAAGAGTTCCGCCATTTATTCACGAGCTCACGTTTTGTCTGTATTTGCATGTGTTACGATTGCGATCAGGTCTGGTCTAGCCGACCTCGACTATGGCCCAGATGGTACTTTTCCACGCGTTAATATCCGTGACAGCAGACCTAGGCAGCTCAATCTATTTCCTAGGCCAAAGGCCGAATACTGAAGGTCCAAGAGCCACTTTCATGTCCAAATGGACTGAGTCACGGCGGGTTTTGAGCTGACACCCTCTTCAATGTCTCCACTTGGGTAATGGTGTTGGAGAGAGTGCAGTAACACTGAACTCGTGAGTTTGACGGTGGAGAACGTTTCCAAATCACTTCAGTCGTCTTTCCTAAATGATCTGGCATATCCATGCGATATTGTCGCAGCGAGTGCGGACTGCCTCATTTGAGACGAACTCGGTGTATTTCACTCGAAAGATTGTCTCCAAGCCGAAGCGGTCAAATACCTGCAGTTTCCTTTCATCTTCCGCGCGCATAGCCCAGAATTCACAGTCATAGAGAAGGGCACACCAAACAGATGCACGGTACATGCAAACTTTCGTGACAATTGAGATATCGCGTCGGGCTTGAAGGCACTTTCTACGGCTTGAGAAAAATTGGCTGCCAACATTGATTTGGAGAGAATGTCATCTTTACTCTGTCCATTCGGATGCCACCTCGATTCGAGGTATTTGAAATTGTTTAGTTCAAGTCAACAGCGAAGTTAAATAGAATGGGCGACAGGAAGCAGCCTTATCGAACGCCAGAGCCAATAGCGAACGGTTCTCACAGGTTGTATGTAGCAGAACCCGCGCAGTGGTGAAGCGGTAGTAGGCCTTGATCATGGCATTGGTGTGTATTGGTACACTATTTAATGCCACTATCCGCCATAGGGATTCACAATGGACAAAATCGAGCGCAAGGCCAAAGTCAGCAAAGCACGCGGTCGTTGGTTGTTGGTAACTATGGCTCAATTCAAGGATGCGTCTGATCCACAGGTCCACGTCCGGAGCGGAATCTGGCTTGGTTGGGCCTCGTCCCAGAGTCACGCACAGACCCGAATCGCCTGAGAAGGACAGTAGCGAAGACCTTCGCAGCAACGTGCCGTGATAGTTCTCGCAGCTTGTACGATCGTCCTTCTCGTAAACAAGTACAAGGATACCTGAACCCTAATTATCAGGAATGACCTCATCTCTCCATGCTTGTTCAATCAGATCATGGAGCCTGCACGCCAGACTGTTTACACAAGACTTTTAGATTTCAGTGCGTATGCCGTCCTC